CCAAAATCCCCACTCACTCGAGGAGAGAGACTACTAAACACACACACTCACTCTCTGTTTCTACTAAGAGCGCGCGCATTTCCTCCATTAATGCCTCCCTGCAACAAAGCGTGATAGAAAGAGAGAGTCATTACTCATTACTCCTATTTGTTATCACGAATATTTCTGAATCAAACTACTCCTTTCTGTTTGTTTTCTTCTTCGTAGATTATTATCATGGAGATGGATCTTAGCAAGGTTACTCTTGACATTTTCACCAAGCTTGAACAGAAATGGCTCTCTCACTGTGACACCACCAGGAAGACACGAATCCTTAGCATCGACGGTGGTGGAACCACTGGCATTGTCGCCGGAGCTTCTATTCTCCACCTCGAACGCCAGATCCGTCTCCTTACCGGTGACCCTCACGCTCAGATCTCTGATTTCTTCGACATTGTTGCCGGAACCGGAATCGGAGGCATTCTCGCCGCTCTTCTCGTCGCCGACGACGGCTCCGGGAGACCAATGTTCACCGCTAAGGACGCCGTCAAGTTTATCGCCGAGAAGAACTCGGAGCTCTTCCAGATCAGGCACACCGGAGTTTTCAGGAGGAACAAGAGATTCTCCGCCAAGAGCATGGACAGGGTTTTGGATGCGGCGTTTCGGAGAGAAGACGGTAAGGTTCTGACGATGAAGGACACGTGTAAGCCTCTCCTTGTACCTTGCTACGACCTCAAAACCTCTGCTCCTTTCGTTTTCTCACGCGCCGGCGCGTTGGAGTCACCGAGCTTCGACTTCGACCTCTGGAAAGTCTGCCGCGCCACGTCAGCGACTCCTAGCCTCTTCAAGCCGTTCAACGTTGTGTCGGTGGACGGAAAAACCTCATGCTCAGCCGTAGACGGTGGTTTGGTGATGAACAACCCAACCGCAGCTGCCGTCACTCACGTGCTACACAACAAACGAGATTTTCCGTTAGTTAACGGCGTCGATGACTTGCTTGTCCTGTCGTTAGGAAACGGGTCGTCTAACGTATCGTCCTCTCCTGGAAGGAAACTCCGTCGTAACGGGGACTGTTCAACATCTTCCGTCGTTGACATGGTGCTTGACGGCGTTTCAGACACCGTCGATCAGATGCTGGGAAACGCTTTCTGTTATAACCGTACGGACTACGTTAGAATCCAGGTAATAATTATTTACTTGCTTAATTAACAAAGTAAAAAAATCTCCGATTAACCGGAAAAATGAGTGAATGTGTGATGATTAATTGATTATTAACGTCTAATGGATGCATGCAGGCGAACGGTTTAACGAAATCGGCGGAGGAGTTGCTGAAGGAGAGAGGTGTTGAAACGGCGCCGTTTGGAGGGAAACGGTTATTAACGGAGACAAACGGAGAAAGAATCGAGAGTTTCGTGCAACGTCTTGTTGCTTCGGGGAAGCCAAGCCTACCTCCGAGTCCTTGCAAGGAATCTGCCGTTAACCCTCTCGCTGACGGACGTTAAG